ACCAGACAGAAGAGACATTTCTGTTTCTCATTTACCAGAGACCATCAATCACTGATAGGGAGCCGATTAACAGACCAGGTTGCCTGGGCCAGCATTCGTGTAAAGAGATTAATTCGCCCTAGCAAACGCTACAGTGGCTTGAATATTTTTACTTTTCCAGGCTGCAACAGAGGGAGAGGACAGAGAACATTTCACAGACCTTCATCTGCGGGACAGACTCTCCTGTCAGCATGGCTTCATCTACAATACACCTTCCACGCAACAGCAGCACGTCACAGGGCACTAGATTTTCATGAGGAGACCGGCCTGCAACGAACACATTAAAACTGAGAAGCTCGTCGAAGGCAGAAGCGACTGCTGTTTGGCTGGCAGGGCACAGCTCTCCTTCGCTTTAGCCGAGATTCCTAAAGCTTCAGACCTCCCCTGGGGTGCCAAGCCTACCACAGCACGTACTCACTCAGCCTTGCTGAGAACCGAAAGGGTTTGAAGGTTGTTAGGCCTCTATTAAGAGCAGGGAAGGTTTAAAATCAAGTCACTGCTGGTCAGGCTTCAACAGCTGGGACCACATCCTGGGGTAATACAAGCTCAAAAGGGAGAGCAGGGCTATGAGACAGATTTGCTCTTCCCGTTCTAGCCAGGGACTGTGAGGAGGAAGGGAACTCTTCATCTTCACAACCCTAAGCTGAAGAATCCGAGGCCGATTTATCTCAGTATTTGCCTTTCTAGCAGGTTCAGGAGAGCCGGCCCAAGGATTAATCTCCCGGACCCCTGAACTGTGGCATCAAAGTCTAAAGTCTATGAATCAAAGTCTAAAGCACCCAACAAGACCATCAGGTTTTTACACCTAACTCAACCCACTGCGCAGCTGAACGCACCAGAGAAACTTGATTTTAAACGAGCTTTTGAATGTAACCATCACGCAAGTCATTACCAATGGAAACGATATCGCCTGGAATAATCTCATCACTGGAAATCGGGCGCCACTTGCGGTTTCTGTAAACCTGCAGGAAAAAAAAACCAACCAAAAAGCACTCTGAGAAACCCTGCACGCGTCAGAAAAGGATCAGAGGAAAAGCATGGGAAAAAGGAAGAGGAAATAAGCTAAAAAGCCAGATACTGCAAAAATTTCAGGCACAACCCTCTCTGGTTCTGATTACCTGGATCATGTACGGCTTGTTGCCCATCTTTCGAATCTCCGACATGTTCCTCATCTGCTGCTGGACCAGAGAAGCTTCAAACGCAACCAGCATGGAGAGGGTGAAAACACTGTAGTACCAGTATTCATCCAGGCACCACAAACCCACACAGAACACCTGCGGGGAGAACAGGACACGGATGTTGTTCTAATCTCGCTCAGGAAACAAAAGCCTTCAATTTCTAGGAATTTGTATTTTTTTTTTTAAGCTAACTTAGTACGCATTTAATTGTAGCAAGTCAGAAAAACAGAAAATCACAGTAGCTCATTAGGGAGAAACGGGGTCACTCCCAGAAGTAAAATCAATGTTACAGGGTAAGAACAGCATCTGCTCCTGATTTTAGAAAGCTGCCAGCTGACTTCTGGCGCTCAGACCAGAACTGTAAGGAATTTTCTTATTTTTATAGCAGGGAGAAATATTTGCAGCTCGTTTTCTTTGTTTGTTTTACCTGAAAGACGAAGAATGGAGCTGTAGCTCTTTCTTTAAAGAGTTCCAAGAACTCCGGCACCACCATCTCGGCCCTGGGGAAGAAGCGAATCCTTATTAACCTAACCATTTTAACCTAAACGCTCCAGATTCTCCCCAAAAGCCCAAGCCACAAGCCACCTGCAGCCTCGGGTGTCAGACCAGGCTGTACACCAGAACGTCCACAATCTCCCCATTCTCAGTTACTTTGATTCAGTTAATTTGTTACGTGCAATTAATTTGCATCCATCGCCCACCCCTCGGTCCCATATCGTTCTCTGCCCTTAAAGGAATTCGAAGCAAGCGCCGGGAGTAACTGAAATTTGAAAACCAGGACTAGGACTGTGGTTCCACACCACTGTTCCCGACGCACCGGGATACTTCGGCACAGGGAGACCTGCACCCGGAAAACTTACTTGTTTGTACCATATTTCTTCTCAGCTGCTCGGATATCTTTGTCCTCCTGATAGCCTCGGGCGTTCTGGTAGTAACAAAGGGGATGTTCCACGGGGAAGGCGACAGGAAGAAACTGTTTCTTGCCATCTATCTCACACGAGTATTTAATTTTCTGGAATTCAAAGGAGAGAGCCTCCTGCCCATTCTCACCCTGCAGAGAAGGGGGAAAAAAAAACCCCCAGCTAGTTAAACACACAGCAAAGGCTTCACTCCACACACAATCTGGCCTGGAGAAAGAAAGAAACCCCAACCCCTTACATCTTTAGTTATTGCACTGTTCTGCTTGTGGTACTCACAGCAGGAAACGCTGTGCAATCGTTAACGTCCCCACTTTTGACTGACTGCAGCTGATTTTTCCATAATTACTTAAGTAAAAGCTAATCAACTGCAGACTGATGGAGTGAGGCAGAAGTCACGACAACGGGGCCAAGCTCTTTCCAGTGGTGCCCAGCGACAGGACAAGGGGCAACGGGCACAAACTGGAGCAGAGGAAGCTCCAGCTGAACCCGAGGAAGAACTTCTTCCCTCTGAGGGTGACGGAGCCCTGGCCCAGGCTGCCCAGGGAGGCTGTGGAGTCTCCTTCTCTGGAGATATTCCAGCCCCGCCTGGCCGCGGTGCTGTGCCCCCTGCTCTGGGTGACCCTGCTTGGGCAGGGGGTTGGGCTGGGTGACCCCAGAGGGCCCTGCCAACCCCGACCATTCTGTCATTCTGTGATTCCCGGGCGTGTGACAACCACCAGGCAGCAGAGCCTTACCTGGTCTCTGTGGAGCGGCACTAGTTCCACCGATCCGTTATTCGGCGTTGGCACGACTTTAGCCAATGTGGCTTTCTTAGGACACGGCTCCTGCAACACAATCACGACACGCTTCGTCAGGCGGATCACAGGCCCCGCCTCCTGTGGGGATCCTTGCCGGATCGCGTTACGAGACACGGAAAACAAAGCTCTTTGCAGCCGGGTGCTTGTGCAGAGCCGTCGTTAGAATCAAAGACATTCCAGTTATCACAACGCACCCCCAAAACTGCACTCTGTCACTAAAGGAAGCATATTCAGTACTTCATTTGCACTTAAGATGTATATAGCTACCAATAGAATCCTTAAGGTTGGAAAAGTAACTTCTTCATCAACAACCTGGATGAAGAGTTAGAGTGTACCCTCAGCAAGTTTGCTGAGGACACCAACGACCTGGATGAAGAGTTAGAATGTACCCTCAGCAAGTTTGCTGACGACACCAAACTGGGAGGTGTGGTAGATACACCAGAAGGCTGTGCTGCCATTCAGCGTGACCTGGATAGGCTGGAGAGCTGGGCAGAGAGGAACCTGATGAGGGTCAACAAAGGCAAGTGCAGGGTCCTGCACCTGGGGAGGAACAACCTCATGCACCAGTACAGGCTTGGGGTAGACCTGCTGGAGAGCAGCTCTGCGGAGAGGGACCTGGGTGTCCTGGTGGACGACAGGGTGACCATGAGCCAGCAGTGT